TGTTTGTGGTTGTAATGTGACAAAATATGGAAAAGTTCAAGGGGTATGAATACTTTTGCAAACCACTGTAAATATCTCAAATTAGCAGAAAGAAGCACAAAAAAGTAGACAAAGCAGGAGAATAGCAGAAAGAAGAATGTTAGCTGAAATAGCAGAAAAAAGCTAAAATTAGCAAGAAAGTAGTTAAAAATAGCAGGACGGTAAAAGGAGCAGAACCAGAACTACAGGTGCTGTAAAGATTTAGAAATATTTTAAAGGCGTTTAAGTATGTTGAAAACAGCTCTATTTATTTTCAATGGCAAAAAGTGGATAAAAAATGTGAAATAGCTAAAAAAAAAAAGAATAATTAGCTGAAATACCAAAAGTCATAGCACCCCTCACATGAATGAGCTGAACGATTTGATACATGAATTGTTGAAATAGCACAAAAATTGTGGAACGAGTTAGATGCCGAAAAACGTACAAAAGAAAAAAATGTTGTAAACAGTGCGAATGCTGTGAAGCTTTCACACAATAAAACATGTTGCGTGAAGCCATGATACCGTACCATTCTAAAATGAGAAGCGAAAATTCATCCACTTATAATTAAAATTACATTTTGAAWGGTTACCAAAAATGTTGTTTTGACACAAAAAGTAACTCAAAGAATTGATATTATTAGATAGGTACATGCATTTTACTTGATATTTTGAGACACAAGGCAAATAATATAAATAAAAATAAAAAAATATATATTAAAAGACCTTATCCATCACTGCCCTTGCCAGTGTTACAGGGTTAGCGATGTTCTTTACAGAAGACACGGCACCACAGGAAAGGGTCTTTCCATCCATGATAATGGCATCCAGCTCCACTTCTCCATCAATGTTTAGTGTTGCTCCATGTCCTGCAGGGGACGATAAAAAAGCACATAAAAACCTCACTGAGTGTTTGTGTGCAAAAGTAAAAAACACCAAGACAGAACTCAGCCTCATTCTAACTGCTGCTTCCTTATCAGTCCACTGGCTGCAGACGAAAGCAACCGCAGAGCTCAGAGTTGATGGATGATGCTGTATTCTGAGGTCCAGTGTACTCATTTATTTATTTATTTATTTATTTATTTATTTTATTGTCACAAAAAATTGACTCAAAGCATAAAAATCTGTTTGGGACCTGCAGATGATATTTTGCACAATTTCACATTGTCTGTCTGTCTGTCTGTCTGTCTGTCTGTCTGTCTGTCTGTCTGTCTGTCTGTCTGTCTGTCTGTCTGTCTGTCGGAATGTCACTTCAACCTGAGGGAAAAATAAATGTTTTACCACCAGCAGATGGAGGCAACGTGCAGAGAAATCCAGGATGCTTCAAACAGCAAAATGCAACAGGGTATTATTTGTTTTGTTTTTGTTTTCCTTGTGGACAGGTGCAACGAGCTGTGGCTGTTTGATAATTGATTTTAAAAAGTGCTAAAGAGAAGAAGCGACCTCTAAAGTTTTAGAAAAATATCAAATGGTGAACATGGCAGACCCAGTCAGCTCAGGTTTGAACTCTAATTTGGCGATAAAAAGAACCATTATAGWTACTGTAAAGTGTACAGAGGTGATGAAAGCGTGTCGTAATTCATATACCAGCATTAAACACGGTGTTGTCRTCCAAAAGCCTCACAGCCGCCTCCACAGCATCCAGAGCACTTCCTCCTCCTCTCAGCACTGAAAGCCCCCYACAAGCTGCAGCTTTCACTCCATCTACAGAAGCCTGGGCCATCTGATCCGGGATGGCCCACGCCCCGCCGTGCACAACCACCACTGCTGCTGGCATCTTTAGTCTCCTGCAGAAAAAATACAATATATACCCAACCAGTTATATGAAACATGTAAAACAATGTATATACTGTATACAGTACATGTTGTTTGTGTTGTGTTTTGTTCATGTAAAAGATAATTCATTTTCAATTATGTTTTAAGACCTACATGCACTCTTTGTACTCAAGGACATAATAAAAAACCTTTTCAGCCGCTGACAGAAGGAGCAACAATGAACTTTAGACCTGACATCCTGATTACTTATTGTTGGAAAAAAAGCAGCAGTTATGAAAAATAAAACTATAAAATGTTTTCACTATTTTCTYTTTTCAGTTATTGTTACATTCAGCAGAGACAGTTTAGTCTTAACTGAAACAGTGATAACATTATAAAAGCTGCAGCTTCTGTATTAATTGTTTTATAACAGAAAGTTTTAATTATTAAAGTGATTTTTTTACAGTGTTCTTCTCTTAAAGTTTCTGTATTTTTGCTGGATTAGTTGTGTTTGAAAACACTTTGAAAAATTCTCTTCATTTCCTGCAGCTTGTTCAATCAAACCTATCAACAAAGAGGAACAGGCTGAACGTACCTTCCGAAACTGTCCGCCCGGCTGCACCACGTGACTCCGACCAGGACTCGCGCGTGCAGCACACTTTTACGTAACGTCCATGTCTGACGTAATTCGTGACAAGACTTGCGACAGTGCTTCAAAGTCTGAGTAAATAATAACAATAAAAGAAACTCTTAAAAGTTATTTAAATGATCAAGTTGAATCTATTTACCATTTTAAACAAAAAAACAGTGGTGGAATTGTTTTTGTTGGTTTCTTTTAATCATATAACTTACAGACAAAGAAATCACGATGCATAGTCTCAAACTTTAAGATTAAGAACGTAGAAAATAAAATTAAAACTGAAAAAATAATGCAATAAAGAAAAAAAATCCATATAAATGTGTAAGTCCATATTTTCACCAGTAGAGGGCAGTAAAAACCTATTAATTGAATGACATTTTAAAACCATGAACTTCAGGCAGTCATGTGGGACTGTGTCTTTGTTCAACTAAAGTAACAAACAAACAAACAAACAAACAACAGTTTGCTTATTCATTTTACTTCATGAAAAAGTGCACTCTAAAACAATCTAATTTATTTCTACAACCACAAACAGTAATCATAACGCTACATCAGATTAATAAAGATGAAGATCAGTATACTCCAGGTAATGCCGTCATCAACAATAAAAAATGTCACCATATGTTCATCAACAATTTCACTGACTCAGGTTAAACTGGTGTGAKATTTAAAATACTGGTCTTGATCGTTCGAGAACAAAAGCTTGAATCTGTCAGAAATATGAAGCTGTGCCTCGTCCCAGAGACAGTGAGGAGAAATAAATTGTGAACTTGTGGTCAGTGCTGACGCCAACCTGATTTAGAGTTTATCGTCTTATGATGCGCTTTTAATGCGATTTAATGGGACTAGATTTGCTGAAAATCAATAAACGTGTACAGAGGGAGGGAATCACTGATTCTTGTACAGTCTGCCTGACATTACAAAAAAAAAAAAAAAGCCTCACAATCTCACATCACCCACTGTTTCTCATGCTGGAGTTTCGAGAAGGGACCAAGTTGTAGCAGTATTGGACAAACATTATGCAACACTGCAAGACAGTATGCTCAGAATATGGGTTGTGAATGACTCTCCCACAAGTTTTAGCTCAACATCTGTAAAACTGACCAAGTTATTGTCCATTTTAATTGGGCTAATGTTGATTAGCTGCAGCATGCATCTTGAATTGGACTGATYCCAAATGGTAATCAGTTGTAGCTGTGTGTTCAATGGTTGCTTTTTGAGAGTGTCATCAAAATGAGTCCAGTGAACAATGAGATATTTAGAATTGAGTTCAACAACTAGTTTAAAGCAAAGATCTTTAGGTCTATATATCTCTCTGACACCTAAAATGACACTTCAATATTAAAAAATTAAAATTTGACACTAAAATCTTACATAAATATAGACATCCACCTCTTCACATCCATGTAAGTTGTAACAAAAAGCTTCTTCCACTTCACCCACTTACCAGCATCTGCACTTATCTTTTTACGGGAAAAACAAAGTTGATCAATAGAAAAGTCATGTGGACAAAAAGCTTATTTTTTGTTGGCTCCTTCCTCTTTAACATTCCAAGTAAATTTTACTCATCAAAAACTATGAGGGGGAATTCAAGGAAGCTTTAGGGAAGTTTGTGCACATCCTTTTTAATCTTAAACTTTGTGAAAAAATACTGCAAGTTTGGCTTTTTCCAGCCCATTAGCTGTCTCAAAGTGTACAGTAACTAGAGTTTTAATTTGAACAGCAAATCTCCGAGCCTATTAGAGATGAAACATAAATAACAGCAAAAATAATTAAGTTGGACGGGTGAAAAACGGTTGCCTGCAGCCCCCTGCAGTCGTTAGGATTCTGATCATCGCAAGGAGGAACAACTTTAAAAGGTCAAGTGGAGCTAGAATTGGTTTTCAGCAGCCTCGTTTGCTAAAATCTAATTTGTGAGTAAAGCAACCAGCATGCTGTGCTGAAGATGACTTTCACGTTTATGTTAATCTGACTATGGGACACCAGAGACACATTTTACATGAGATGCAAATATTATTTATCCTTTATGGCACCAAGACCATTTATGCTCTAAATGAAACATTTTTTTTTCTTTTTTAATGATATAGTAGTTGCTTTAAGTGTAATTCATTCTCCAGCAGTAATGGTTCCTCTTGATTTGAGCTCTTTCAGCCCTACAAGTACCACTTAATTTAAGCTTAAKACCAAACATTTCAAGAATAGTGGGTTTAACTTTTGCAGCAAATAAAGAAAAAGAAGCAGTCAGACCTTTCTTTGGGTGACTTGAAAGTTTGCAGCAGACRGGGTGTAGTGAAACCCAAAAGACACAAAAGTCTTTATTACAATCTAAMGAAAAACAACTGCTGTAGGAGGCCGTAAAACACAGAAAGACTTCAGTCTGCAGACAGAGGTCGGCACCATGAGCAGCGACAGAATCTGGCCCTCAGGTGGAGCTGCCAAAGTACTGCAGCGACATTGTGTCAACTTTGGAAACTATYATGCAAGCTCCAAAAAATAGTTTTGATAGATACTAAGGTATGGCATTTGCATAACATTACATTTGAATGTGCCTGATACACGTATCCTTCAAATATAAAAAGTTAAAAGAAACACCTTTGTGTTAAAGAAACTTGGCATAATACACCTAACTTTTCCTATTTTGTAGCATAAATGCAGATTTTCTTTTGAACTTGGCTCAGACACATTGACACAGGAAGTGACATCAAAGGGGAACTGTTTAAGAAAAGGAACTCCTTGGTCTTTGTTTATT